CCCACTTGCCTGGAGAATGGGCCTTTTGTCTCCGCAGTAAGATAAGCTTGTCCACGATGTTAATGATGTGTTTTAATTCATGCCTCATAATTCTACAGTGTGACTTGTACGGCCTTCATTGTCTGTGGAGAACAAGCTCCCACAGAGCCCTGCAGCCGGCCGCCACGCCACGCTGTTCCTGCTTGCCGTGGTCTGCTGAGCTGTCCAGGGTGGGGACCCCCCCCCATTTACAATCAGATCAGGTTAACAGGTGGCACCAGAACGGAAAGCAACTCCAGCAGGCACCAGCCCCTCCCTACCTCCCCTGCCTGCCTCATTGAACACATTCTAAAGTTAGGGTATTTGGGGGAATTACTTTGAATATTTCAAACACAGGTGAAATTTAGCCCCTCGTTCCTTTTTCCCAGTAAAAAGTTTTGCTAATTTTAGGGGGTGACACAAACCATTTAGCCCATGTTGCTGGTTCAACAGACAGAGCAGAAAACAGTAAAACTGACTGTCGATTCATGAACTTTCTTATTGTGTAGAAACATTCATAAAACATGCCGGTGCCTTGTGGAAGGAAAGTTTGGCTGAAACTATGGTGGGGGGGAGCATTGGCAGCGTTACTAGCTTTTCATCTCGCAGAAGGAAGGAGAGGACAGCCCCTGAACCCAGGGGCTCCGGTTCTGTAGTCTGTGCCTTGTGTCCCTCCTGGCCGCTGCCTCTGCCCAGCTCAGCTTCAGCAAGTGTCTGGACAGGCCTCTCCTGGAACCCAGAGAGGCCTTTCCATTTCAGCAAACCCTTATTATGCAAGTTGGTTGTCTTTCCTTTGACTTTTTTTCTGGAAAGCTGGAAGGTAGGAAAGATAATTTCCCAAGCTACATTCCTGCGGGCATTGAGCTAGTGGGCCTGGGGTGGTGGGGGTGGAGGTGGGCAAGGGAGGCCCCTGAGCCTCTGTCCTGTTGTTTCTGTTGTGTTTCTGGCTGGAGTGGCAAGGGGCGGGTGTGTGTGTGTGTGTGTGTGTGTGTGTGTGTGTGTGAGAGAGAGAGAGAGAGAGAGAGATTTAAAGTCTTTTGTAAAAAAAAAAAAAAAGGTTCCTAGCTCACCCAAATGGGAGATGAATGTGAACGCACATACCTAACTCTGGGTCTACAGTTGTTGGCATTTTGGTAACGACCACCCCTCTTTTTTAGCTCCAATTTTGTAATGTGCTTTTAAATATTTCACTATATCTCTCCAGTGTCTTCGGCCGAACAGAATAACTAGCGCTCAATACCCTCCAACACCAAGTCTGCATCAAGGCTAGTGCTCTACCACTTGAGCCACAGAGCCACTTCCAGCTTTTTCTTTGTATGTGGTATTGAGGAATCGAACCCAGGGTCTCATGCATGTGAGGCAAGCATTCTACCACTGAGCTGACTTCCCAGCCCCTAAAGTTTGCTTCTTAATGGCTAAATGGTGGCATCTCTCAGGGATGATTCCAGCGGTTTGGTGCAGTTTTTAGTGGTGTATGTGTCCTGGTATAAGCTCACCGGGTTGTGTAGATGGGTGTCGTTGGCTGCCAGTGGCAGGTATGTCTGGGTATTCTACCGCAGTTGGTTCATTGGTTCAGTGATGACTTATAATCTAAGCCGTATTGGCCATGTACTGAATGCCTGGCATGATACTTGCGAGCACTGGTGTAATTCCACAAGAATATATATAGATATCATTACAGTCGTCCCATTTTGAGGATGAAAAAACAGACTCAGGGTCCCACGGTCTACCTATGTTAATGGCGGAACTGGGTAGTCTAATGCCCCTCCAGCCTGTTGTTGGGTGTGTGGACTTGGAAGTGGGTGGGGAAGTTCCCCCAGAGAGGAACGTGGACTGCTGGAGCAGTGCTGGCATGCAGAGCGGGACTCACGCCATAGGCTGGGCATTAGCAGTTGCTCTGAGGCTGAGCTGAGGTCTTTGGGCTCTTCAGGAGGGCAGAGGCCTGTGAAGGACTGGTGTCTTGGTGAGGTCAGCTGCTTGTGCTCCTGGCCGTGGGTTGGCTCAGGAGCAGGTGGATTCAGGAGTACCTCAGATTTGGCTGACTGGTGCTGGCTGGGGGAAGATCTGATGTGCTTCACTGCCAGATCCAGGACGGGCCTGGAGCTCCAGTCCAACCACACTATTTTGATTCCTAGATTCAGTTCCCTGAGGGAGTCTAGCCAGTACTTGTAAACACTAGACATTGCTCCTTCCTGGCTTCTGGAAATTTCTCCTGATTCGGCACGGGCCATGCTTTTACAGTTGTGCTTGTAGCCGTGCTTCCTTTCCTGACCCATGAGATCCGAGAAGCTGAGTGCCCTGTGCTGGTCTCCGGTTCTCCGTTCTGGGTCTGCTGAAAAGTGTGCCAGTCAGGCACTGGAGGGGCCTCTTTATCCCGCCCGGCCCGAGGCCCTGGGTGGAGCTGAGGCAGTGCCCAGGAGCCCCCTCAGGAGCGGCCTTGGAGATGCAGAGGGACACTCAAAACCTGCGCTGCTTCTTTAAGACTCCACTGCTTTTCCTTTCTAGAGAGAGAGAGAGAGAGAGAGAGGGAGGGAGGGAGGGAGGGAGGGAGAGGGGAGAGAGGCCACCTATGCCCTGTGGCTCCCAGAGCCCCAACCAGGGGATGCAGTCTGTTGGTTGAAACACTTGGCCACAGGTTCACTTTATCCCGGGTCTGGCAAATGCAAGGAGTCTGGGAGTCACTTGAAGGAACTGCACCATCTGGGCCACAGAGGGAAAGAGGAGGGGGTGTGTCTGAGGTGTGGCAGCCTGGTATATGTGTCTGACACCCACACTGTTGGTGTGTGTATTTGTTTTGTCTTCTCCCTTTTCTTCTCTCTCACCATCATGCATTGCTGCACAACAAAGGCACACTTTCTTTAACAAACAGTTTATCCCCCCCCCCCCGCCATGTTTTTATAAATGTGATTAAATTACCCAGCTTCTCAAAAAAAGAAATAACTTATTTCCCAAACCATGCAACGTATTTTCAAAAACAGCTTTGCACTGTCATTCCCTCTCGGGGAAACTCGTAGAGCAAGTGGCCTGCAGAATATCAGTCCTAAAATCCTAGTACACAAGGTGCTTTTTGCTGAATAAAGTTGAGTTACGGTCTTGCAAGTTCCCAGTTTCAGCCTTGGAAGAAGGTGTGGTGGAATGCATCGTTTTGTCAAATGATGTGTATGAGAGGGCAGAGCTGAGCACTGCTGCCCACAGGTTGGGACTGCACGGGAGACTCCCGGCCACACAGGCAGTGGGAAAGGACAGTGGGCCCAGGTGAGTGGCGAATACTCCCAGTGGTGCCAGTGAGAAACGTCATTGCGGTGTCTGTGGGCTGTGTGCGTTCTGAGGACAGCTTCCTGTTCTGTGTGCCAGGTTCTGAGGACAGCTTCCTGTTCTGTGTGCCAGGTTCTGGGGACAGCTTCCTGTTCTGTGTGCCAGGTTCTGAGGACAGCTTCCTGTTCTGTGTGCCAGGTTCTGAGGACAGCTTCCTGTTCCGTGTGCCAGGTTCTGAGGACAGCTTCCTGTTCTGTGTGCCAGGTTCTGAGGACAGCTTCCTGTTCTGTGTGCCAGGTTCTGAGGACAGCTTCCTGTTCTGTGTGCCAGGTTCTGAGGACAGCTTCCTGTCCTGGGGTCCAGGTTCTGGCCTTGTCTTCCATAGCAAAATTGCCACAGCCGCAGCGTGGGGTGTCCATCTTTGATTTGGCCCTCCACCCCCAGGAAGGTCACTTTCTGGGAAGTCATCTTGGCTGTTTCTTGGTCCCTGTGTGCGTCCTCAGGGAGCAGCAGTTGCTGCTGACCAGGGTGCTGTTGGGTAGTGGAGTTGAGGTCGGAGCTGTTGGCATGGCTGTAGTGTTCTTCCTGTTCTGTGTCTTTCCCTTCGGAGTGGTGTGGAGGCCTGGAGGATGCAGCTCGCACGCTCTACATGGGGATGTGTGGGCCTCCAGCTGCTTGTGAAGAACAGCTGGGGAGAAATGCAGCGCAGGGGGAGGTGGTGCCGGGCGGCGGGGTCCAGCCCTGTCCAGCACTGACTTGCCCTGTCTGTCCCAGGCCCTGTGGGTTCGGGGAAGTTGTCAGGAGCCTTTGGGGAAGGTCAGATGAAAAGCGGAAGGTGTTGGGCAGGTGAGGGCAGAGGTGTGGCCGGGACTGGGGTCTGACCACAGGCCTCAAGTCATCCGGAGGAGATGGACAGGGCTGTCCTCGTGAGTGCAGAGGACAGCGTGTGTCCTGTGGCCGGTGGTGGATGTGGCCCTTGACCGCGGAGCCGTGTCTTGCAGGACTGGCTTGTCTCCCATCTCCCTGTCACCCTGTGAGGCACCCTGCAGCAGGACAGGAAGCTGCCTGCATTGGAGGAGTCGGTGGCGGTGCACAGGGCCTTACTGTGGACATTTATTGCCACTGGATCTGAGGGGACGCTGCCAGGAGGAATATCAGGGCTCTGGTGTGGGGTGCTTCCTCCTCTCCTCTCTGCTGCAGGTGCTGCGGGTGGGTGAGGGGGTGAGGGGGCGTGAAGGGCACAGGTGGGTGAGGGGCAAAGCCAGGGCCTGCTGTGGCGTGGTGGTCCTCCCCCACCCCAGCAGCAACAGGAGGCGGGACATGGAGCCGTGCGCCCACGGACAGTGACTCCTGCCGCAAGCCGTCTTTCTAGGCTGCCCTTGGGCCACGGCTGTGGCCTCACCCAGCCAGGATTCTCACTACGAATCTCATCATGGGTGCTGGCCATGGCAGGGCTCGGAGAAGCTTCCACTGCCACCACTGTGGGCGTGCTCAGCTACTTGGTGGGGTCTGTGAGGCTACTCCAGGCCCATCCGTGTCCAGGGTTCTCTCTGCACACACTGCTGTGAGCCCATCTGCCAGTGTCTGTGTCAGGGCGTGCCGACGGGCCTGCGTGGACACGACTGTATGCTGTGTTCCTGAGCTTTTCCTTCTCTGTTGCAGGTGCTCGTGGCTGTGTTCCACATTCTTCTAGACGATGTACCTCCACATCTCGGGGCTCATCTCTGGTCTCTGGGCAGGGGTCTTGCTGAGAATGGAGCCGTAAGACGCCGTCAGGTCAGGCCTGTGCGGCGGAAGACTGTGCTGCTCCCACGGCCCACGTCGCCCCCATGGATCGTAACAGAGAGGCGGAGATGGAGCTGAGGAGAGGGCCCAGCCCTCCCAGGGCTGGCAGGAGCCACGAGGTGGACGGGGACAAGGCCGCGTGTCACAGCTGTTGTATCTGTGGCAAGAGCTTCCCCTTCCAGAGCTCGCTGTCTCAGCACATGCGCAAGCACACAGGGGAGAAGCCCTACAAGTGCCCGTACTGTGACCACAGGGCCTCCCAGAAGGGCAACCTCAAGATCCACCTCCGGAGCCACCGCACGGGGACCCTGGCCCAGGGGCCTGGGCCCGAGGCCGGCGAGACGCAGCTGGGCGAGATGCGCGTGTCCGAGGGCCTGGATGGGTGCGCCAGCCCCACCAAGAGCACATCGGCCTGCAACCGCATGCTGAACGGGGCAGTGCAGGCGGACGGCGGCAAGATCCTGCTGCGGAGCAGCCGGAAGGAGGCCGAGGGGTCCGCTGGCGCCCCGGAGGAGGCCGAGGCCCGGGCCCGGTGCTCCTTCTGCAAGAGCCAGTTTGAACGCAAGAAGGACCTGGAGCTGCACGTGCAGCAGGCCCACAGGCCTTTCAAGTGCAGGCTGTGCAGCTACGTGACCCTGCGAGAGGAGTCTCTGCTGGGCCATATCGAGCGGGACCACATCACCGCGCAGGTGCCCAATGGAGGCGAGGCCTGTGTGGAGAACGGCAAGCCGGAGCTGAGCCCCGGGGAGTTCCCCTGCGAGGTGTGCGGCCAGGCCTTCAGCCAGACCTGGTTCCTGAAGGCACACATGAAGAAGCACCGGGGCTCCTTCGACCACGGCTGCCACATCTGTGGCCGGAGGTTCAAAGAGCCCTGGTTCCTCAAGAACCACATGAAGGCCCACGGCCCCAAGTCGGGGAGCAAGAACCGACCCAAGAGCGAGCTGGACCCCATTGCCACCATCAACAACGTGGTCCAGGAGGAGGTGATCGTGGCGGGCCTGTCTCTCTACGAGGTCTGCACCAAGTGTGGGAACCTGTTTACAAACCTGGACAGCTTGAACGCCCACAACGCCGTGCACCGCAAGGTGGAAGCCAGCCGGACGCGGGCGCCCGCAGAGGAGGGTGCCGGGGAGGGCCCCCCGGACACCAAGCAGTTCTTCCTACAGTGCCTGAACCTGAGACCGTCCGTGGCTGCCGACGTGGCGCCCTGTGGGCCGGCTGGAAGGCGGGTGTTGGAGCTCGACCCCGTCAACAGCTACCAGGCCTGGCAGCTGGCCACCCGGGGGAAGGTGGCCGAGCCGGCCGAGTACCTCAAGTACGGGAGCTGGGATGAGGCGCTGGCTGGGGATGTGGCCTTCGACAAGGACAGGCGGGAGTTCATTTTGGTGAGCCAGGAGAAGCGCAAGCGCGAGCAGGACGTGGCGGCCACGCAGGGTCCCCCCAGGAAGAGGGCCAGCGTGCCGGGTGACCCCCTGCTCCCTGGCCACCTGGATCCCCGGCCGGCCGTGCGCCCCAGCCGCAGAGCCGCGGCGCCCGCCGGCCACAGCAAGTCCTCAGAGTGCTTCGAGTGTGGCAAGATCTTCCGCACCTACCACCAGATGGTGCTGCACTCACGCGTGCACCGCCGGGCACGCCGGGACCGCGAAGCCGAGGGCGACCGCGCGGCCTGCGTCCGCTGCAGCTCGCTCAGCGAGGGGGACTCGGCCTCGCAGCCCAGCAGTCCCGGCTCAGCCTGTGCCGTGGCCGACTCGCCAGGCTCCGGCCTGGCCGACGAGGCCGTGGACGACAGCAGTGAGGAGGCTGTGCCTGAACCTGCATCAGGTGAGTGGGCGGGCTCGGGCTGAGAAAGTTCCAGTAGCTTGGGCTCGGGTGGCCCTTAAAGACCCAGTGACGCCAAGCCTAGCTGGCTCCGTGTCCTGGCTTCCTTGTGTCCAGGTCCTTGTGTCCAGGGGGGTCTCATACCCAGGTAACCCCATGCTCAGGTGGCCTTGCGCCCTAGTGACCTTGAGCATAGCTATCCCCTGCCAGAGGCCGCGCGTCCATCAGGAATCCTGTCCCTCCTGTGCGGTGCCTGCCAGCTTCACTTGGCTCTCTGTTGCGTTATACACTGCAGGGCTGTGTAAATTCATCTTTGGCTTTGTGAGTTGTTGGTCTCTCCTGGGTGGCCATAATTTCAGAGTAAGGAAATTGGCCATGGATTTACTCCTTTTAGATGTACCCTTCTCTTGCTTTGCTGGCCTAGACTCGATTGTGAATGTTTGATGCATGCACATGCACACACAAGCACACACTCAACATATGCAGACATACCTCGCACGTTCACACACACCACAGAGGCCCCATGCCTGGGCACACACACGTATATGCACAAGCACTCAACGCATACATATACGTGCAAGTACCTATCTGCAGGCACACGGGCACCTCAAATTTATAGGACCCCTAAAATGGGTGTATAACACACGATCATGAGTTCTTCTTAAACATAGGTATTTTAAAAATGTCCACATATTACGTGTACATGCACACTTACTCATGAATACACATTCCCCCCTGCTTGCCTCTCTTCTCCATACAGCTGTGTAGAAGAGAAACTCAGAATTGTGGGCAGTTATAATTAGTCTCAGATTCCTGTCACTCTGTGGGACAGTTAATTGGAACAGATTACTTTCCAAATAGCCGACATCTAAACTCTCAGCTTTGTTTTCATTGTCTTCCTCCTTTTTCCTATATTTTTTAATACACATTTGGCATTTCCGTCTTTATTTTCTTGAGGTAATTGAGAGTCAAAGGTGATGTTTTTAGTTCTGGAAATTGTGAGTCTGTCTGCAGTGTCTCCTCCTCTTGGGAACCTGCTAGTGAGTGTTGCTTTTCTCTGAAAGTTCTAGAATCCCAGGAGTCAGAGCCCATGGGCAGAGCTGATTGAGGTAGGCAGTGAAGAATAAACCCACAAGCATTTCCTCAGGACAGAGCAGAGTTGGAGGCTGCCGTTCATCAGGGATGATACCAGTTCGTTATTAGGGGTGCACGGGGTGTGTGTGACTGAGGGCTGGCCGCAGTCGGATGCGTGGACCACAGAATGTGAACCCCGTGCTTTGTCTGGTCCTTTGAGAGCCTGTGCTCTGTCTGTGCTTTTGTAGACGTAGGTGTGGGTGGCCGGCAGCACACGCCCTGAGCCTCCTGGCTCTGTCCTCCCAGGGCCAGGTCCCCGGAGAGGAGCACAAGATCACCCCTGCTCTTCAGCCTTCTCCCTGCAGCTTCTGGTGCACAGCCAGGTTTGCTGCTCGCCACCCTGGCTCAGCTCTTGTCTTCTTATGACTGGAGTTGTGGTTTAATGATGCCGTGACTGCTTGGGATTGGACACTGGATGCGGCATTTGCTAGAACTGTGCGTGTCTCCACGGTGAGGGGAAGTATTGTTAAGATTTGGGAAGGTTGGTGAGCTCTACCGTCTGTGTCATGGATCCACCGGTCCATGGTACTCTGAGTAGCTGGGAGACCGCATTAGGTGGCACTTCCTGTCTCTTCTTGGGATCATTAGATGTGGAGAGTATTGTTTCCTTCTTACAAACATGGTATGTGTTTGCTCTCAGGTCTGCCAAAGTTGCTTTCTGCGATGCACAGGACAGTGCCTTCCCACCTGATGCCCAGGCTCTGTGGTCCTGGCAGCAGTTTAGTGTCTGCCTGGTCACCTTGTTCCTGGGGACAGAGCCCAGGGCAGCTCTCGGGCCCGGCTGGGCCCGTGCCACAGTGGCTTCTGCAAGGACGTCTGCTGTGAAGAAGGCTCCGTTCTCAGCCGCAGCATTCTGCCTCTGCTCCTTCCCCTTGAAGTGTGCAGAGCTGGGGTCAGCGCTCACCTTTCCCCATGCTAGGGTACCCAGATCCTTCGACACTGAAAGCACTTAGAAGGCATGGCTGGCGACAGTTGTTTGTGAGTGACTTCAGAAATGAGGCACAGCTGGGCTTGTAGCTTTCCTGAGAGTCACCCTGCCCGGGGCGGCAGAGTTGCAGGTAGAATTTAGGGCTGTGTCCTCCAGCCTATTCTGTCAGTGCCGTCACTTTACCTGGAGAGAGCCTTGGCCCCAGGGACTGGTTTAGGCCCTGCTGGTGGACTTCCTTGTGTCTCCTGCCTCGGGGCAGCTGTCCTCAGTGACTTGGTTGGTGTGCAGGTGAGTGAGGTTGTGGGTAGTAGTAGTTGGAACAGTCTGTTTCTGAACTAGATTGGCTGCAAAAGTGACAAGGCTCCAGCACAGAGGTTGTACCATTTATGGTTTTAATTCGGAAGACAGAGAGCTCACGGCTATATAAGTGAGTCACGTATTTATGTAGCATATATTATATATAATATGTACGCATACACATTTCCACACAGAGTGGGGGCAGGAGCTCAGAGAAACACTGCTTAGGAAAACGGACTATCTTCGGAGGGAGTGAAGGGGCGACAGGGGCTCTGCTCAGAGATTAGGGACTGTGGCGGCTCTCTGAGGGCCAGGTCCCGTGGGAGTGCTGCACAGAGAGAAACCAAATGCGGGGTGGGCGGGGCAGCACGGCAGGGTGCGGTGGCTCGGAAGGGTCCCACTCCCGGGGTCGCTGCGGTGGTGCGCTGGCGTGGCCGTTTATGCAGTCTCATTTACAGTGAACTCAGTTGGCCAGCCTTGCTCTCGTCCCTTCCTTGTCACACCCTGGAGCTTCCTAGGCCCCCTCCAGGTGTGACATGAAGGACATGGCAAGCATTCTGCTGTTTGGAGTGGGACACGTGGCATGTGGATGGCTGGGCCCCGTCGGGTGGAGGCGGGCGGAGGGTCCGTGGGGCGGAGCTGGTCAAGCACTGCGGCGTTGTCCATTTGGGGACTTAGCGCATCTTCAGAAGACGCAAACATGGTGGAGGCAGGCCACGCTGGAGCTTCCTTTGGTCTCTGTGTTTCCGTGGCCGGCCACCTCTATGTGCCAAACACATCCTCTTTCCTTCCTGACTGCCTGGTCTGCTTTGACGGGAAAACACAAGGTGCACTCAGGCTGAAAACCGGACTGGCAGTAGCAGGGCAGCATGTGGCCGTGCGGCGACCCCCGGGCTGAGCAGCCCCCCTTCTCCCTCAGGAGTGCGCACAGCGGTGAGAGCAGTCGAGGAGGAAAATGGTCTTGTACCTTCACCGTGGATGCAGGGCTGGGAGCCAGTATGGGCTGGGAGAGGGCGTGTCCGTGGAGCAGTCGTGTGTCCGTGGAGCTGTGGCGTGTCTGTGGAGCTGTGGCATGTCTGTGGAGCTGTGGTGTGTCTGTGGAGCTGTGGAATGCCTGTGGAGCTGTGGAATGCCC